GGTACGCCAAAAACGTACCAGGTACGTTTTATACGGTTGCTATACGCCACGGGTACACCACGGGTACGCCACGGGTACGCCATGGGTACGTTTTGGGTACTCCGGGGTAAAAAACGAGATTTTTTATAAATTAAAGGGTACCGGAGCAATTTTTTATGTCTATTTTAAAGAATTATAAAAATCTGGGGTTCTTTTGTAATAAATAAAACATAAATATATTTTGTTGATGCTTATAATGTTATTGCATATATAGGTTTTTCACATGTAATTTGAACAGAATAAAGTGAGTGCTATACACAGAGAGGGTGTATGAAGCACGTGTTTAGGCATATCCCACTTAATGTGAATGGTGACATTATTTGCATTTTACTCGTGCCATTTGCTATTTCTCAAGGGCTTTCCTGCATTCTAGAGAAGATGATTTACAAGTTAAAGGGCATGTTTAGCGTAACATTTCTCAATCTGAAAGTTGATAATCAGAACGTAAGAGTTAAAAGCACTCATTCATCAGTTTTTATTTTATACAATCAACTTTTTTTGGACTTATTTAAGTTTTTTTTTTTTTTTTTTTAATATGTTACAAACAAAAGTCGCACCAACCACTAGCACAAACTTCCAAAGTTTAAAAACTATAAGCAACCTCTATAAATTATACCAAACACGACACTTAGCTCGGCCCTAATGGTGCTTCAGGCATGTCGTGACAGGAAGTTTAGAGTATCACCAAGCAAGAAGCCCTGTAGTACTCAAACTGTGAAATTGTGTTCCTCAAACCACATTGAGAGGAAGACTGTTCGGTTATAGGATTTCCATTACCTTCATAGATTGTGGACTGCCGTTAAATATGTGACGAGAATTAGGGTAAAACTAATTATTATAAAATAAAATTATCTAGTGCTGTAAAGTAGGCTGAATAATCGTTAAAAGCTACACTCCACTATTTTCATGTTTGAAGAAAAAAGAATTTCCTTGGTACAAGGTTAAAAGCTATTTCCTTTATTTTCATGATCCTCAAGTGATACAAATGCCAATTAGAGTTCAAAACCCCCGTCAATTATTTTAGATCTCCTATTTCTTTGAATTTTTACTTATAAATTTTGAAACTTTTAAAAAAAAATTTTCCTCCAAATAATACTAAAATTATCCTTATGAAAACATTCTACTCATTTAATTGAATGCACACTTTCACACCTTAAAAAGCCTCTCTCCCAAAAGCCCTAACAAAACCCATGAACATGATTACTACTTAATTTCTACATAGTTGTTCATGACTTGAGAAAATAAATATAGGATTTTTTTTGTTGTTAATTCAAAATTTTCCTTTTGTGGGCTATGGGATCCACGAGTTTGGATTTGTGATATCTCAGGTGGGTTTCTTTGAATTATTTAACAGTTTCAATTCTTTTTCCTTATCTTACCTGGGTTTTGTAATTTTAAAGTTTGAAAAAAGTTCATTAATAATGTTCGGTTACCTGTTCCCGAACAAAAAGAATAATGTTCGGACTTGTGTTCTCGAATTCCGATCATATATTCGAGAGTTCAATCCTGAAAAAATAACGAATAATTTTTATTATTTTTGCCATTTTTCAGTAAACTTACCTCTACAATGCCAATTTTCTCTGAGCTAAGAACACCATCAAAATTATAATTCTCTAAGCTTTTATTGTTGTACTCCTCTCGTCTCATGGAGTTGTATTTCTCGAAAAAAAATTTACTTCTTGTTATTGCTGAAAAAGTGTAGATAATCAAATGGTTGCCACCGTTACTGCCTAAAGATTTTCAAGGTTTTGAGGGTGAGTAGGTTTTGAAGGTGAGATTTGGAGAAGATGGATGAGTATGATGGAAGTGGGTGCTCTCATAAATTCTAACTCATGATGTAATGGGTATATAGGCTTAATTGTGAGATGGGGTATCTCAAAATTATTAGGGTAAATTACAAATACACCCCTGAGGTTTGATTAAAATACGAATAGCCCCCTATGATTTTAAAAATTACATTCCATCCCCTGAGGTTTCTAATTTCATAACAAATTGTCTTTTTTTATTAATAAATCAATAAGTCAATTAACAATTTTTAATGATGTTAAAAATATATTTCAATTAATGATTTAGGTAATTTTATTATTGTATAGGAGAACAATTATGAATTTAAGCACGTGTTTAGGCATATCCCACTGAATGTGAATGGTGACATTATTTGCATGTTACTCGTGCCATTTGCTATTTCTCAAGGGCTTTCCTGCATTCTAGAGAAGATGATTTACAAGTTAAAGGGCATGTTTAGCGTAACATTTCTCAATCTGAAAGTTGATAATCAGAACGTAAGAGTTCAAAGCACTCATTCATCAGTTTTTATTTTATACAATCAATTTTTTTTGGACTTATTTAAGTTTTTTTTTTTTTAATATGTTACAAACAAAAGTCGCACCAACCACTAGCACAAACTTCCAAAGTTTAAAAACTATAAGCAACCTCTATAAATTACACCAAACACGACACTTAGCTCGGCCCTAATGGTGCTTCAGGCATGTCGTGACAGGAAGTTTAGAGTATCACCAAGCAAGGAGCCCTGTAGTACTCAAACTGTGAAATTGTGTTCCTCAAACCACATTGAGAGGAAGACTGTTCGGTTATAGGGTTTCCATTACCTTCATAGATCGTGGACTTGTGAGAACCCGAATATAAAAATTAAGTAAATAATTAAATAATAATATTACAATCTCAAATATTTTGGTGGTGAATTCTAAGGTGCAAATTAAATATTATTGGGGGATCCTTTAATTAATTTTTAAACCTAAAATAAATTTACGGTGAAAGTCATTGATTTAGAAGCAAGATTTATGTTTAAAAAAAAAATTAGAGAAGAGGGTGTGACGTGAACTCTAGACCATAAAATTAATAAGTTAGGCTCTTACCATTTGAGTTGCATGTAACTCATATATGTATTTTGTATATTTATCTATCTATTTGACCTAAGTGTGCCCACCACTAGTATAAAATAAAATAAACACAAACCCTAACTCTTGTTATAATTGTTTTCCACAACACTAGCAGCCCTAGCAGCCGTGGGTTTCTGAAGGAAAGAGAGGGGTTTTTCAATCATCAAGATTATTGTTGTAGCCAAGAAGGAGAGCTTTGGGTGTGTTGTGCTGTGTGGCCTCCTAGGTTTTCTTCTGTTCTTTCTTTGTTCTTCATCCTTATTCTATTATTATTTTATTCATTCATGGAGGTTGTAAGTTTATATATTTTGTATATATATATATACTGTTAAGAAATTTGAGGAGTTAAATTCATGTAAAAAGATTGGGTATTATTCTTAGTTAAAAATTCTGCGCATAATCACGAACTTTAAAAATCAAGAAACCATATCAAACGGATACAATACGGTTCACTAAATCACAATTTGATACAATACGGTTCACTAAATCACAATTTGATACAATACGGTTCACTAAATCACAATTTGATACAATACGGTTCACTAAATCACAATTTGATACAATACGGTTCACTAAATCACAATTTGATACAATACGGTTCACTAAATCACAATTTGATACAATACGGTTCACTAAATCACAATTTGATACAATACGGTTCACTAAATCACAATTTGATACAATACGGTTCACTAAATCACAATTTGATACAATACGGTTCACTAAATCACAATTTGATACAATACGGTTCACTAAATCACAATTTGATACAATACGGTTCACTAAATCACAATTTGATACAATACGGTTCACTAAATCACAATTTGATACAATACGGTTCACTAAATCACAATTTGATACAATACGGTTCACTAAATCACAATTTGATACAATACGGTTCACTAAATCACAATTTGATACAATACGGTTCACTAAATCACAATTTGATACAATACGGTTCACTAAATCACAATTTGATACAATACGGTTCACTAAATCACAATTTGATACAATACGGTTCACTAAATCACAATTTGATACAATACGGTTCACTAAATCACAATTTGATACAATACGGTTCACTAAATCACAATTTGATACAATACGGTTCACTAAATCACAATTTGATACAATACGGTTCACTAAATCACAATTTGATACAATACGGTTCACTAAATCACAATTTGATACAATACGGTTCACTAAATCACAATTTGATACAATACGGTTCACTAAATCACAATTTGATACAATACGGTTCACTAAATCACAATTTGATACAATACGGTTCACTAAATCACAATTTGATACAATACGGTTCACTAAATCACAATTTGATACAATACGGTTCACTAAATCACAATTTGATACAATACGGTTCACTAAATCACAATTTGATACAATACGGTTCACTAAATCACAATTTGATACAATACGGTTCACTAAATCACAATTTGATACAATACGGTTCACTAAATCACAATTTGATACAATACGGTTCACTATTTTAGAAAAAAATGATTCATGATTTGATTTGCAATTTAACAACAATGATCACGAGAAGGATAGACGCTAATAAAAAATACTCATGAAAAAATGAAATTGGTAAATTGTATAGTGTACAGCATGTAAGATAATTACCAAGTTTAATTACAAAAAAAATAAATAAAATAGAAAGGTAATATGATTAGAAAGTTTGATGCAGCAATACTGCATGGGTGAATTGCAGGGCCGAACAAGATTTGGATATTAAGTATTTGTAAATGTCCTGCGAGTACAACATTCATTGTTATATTTATTGTTAATTGTTCACACGACCAGCTTATATGTTATGTCAACAACTCGTTTCAACATTTGTGTAGTAAAGTTTTGCATTATGTACACCTGTCAGTTTTCATTTTTGTTTTTATCATTATTCATGATTGGAGTGATGTTTAGCCCTTATAGATGGGTTTTTCAATTCCGTTATTGTTCCAGTCTTTGTTCTTGCCTTTGTATCTTTAGCATTCCATAAACCTTTCTTATGATGTAATTTTGAATGACTTTGGCATTTGGCTTTAGGCATTGGAGAGTGTTGAAGATGCCTTGCTAAAGCTAGAGGAGTTACTTCAGGAGCTTCATGTATCAAGCTCTAGTTCTGGAAAAGAGCAATTAAAAGCTGCTTGTTCTGATCTTGAGAGGATAAGGAGACTCGAGAAAGAAGCTGAATTTCTTGAGGCATCTTTTAGAGCAAAGGCAGCTTCCCTTCAGCAGGTATGTTTCTGAATTTCATTGAAGGATAACATGCATCCTAGAACTATTTGACTGACAGGGACTGTATTCTACACCCTTAGTTTTCTCCTGACCTAGCATATGTATAAGCTGTCAATTTTTTTTGCAAAGTTCTCTACAGAGGGAAGCTTGTAGAACCAATAGTTGCAACAAGAACAAACACGAGCACACTCAAATAAGGGAACACTTCTCTCTATGAGTTAATCACCAAAAACTATATAGCCTAGAGGCTTGCACCCAAATTTATAATAATAAGAGAAATCCAAAATCAACTAGGTAACACCACAAAAGGCAATTCCTTGTTCATTAAGCTAAAATAAAGAAGGGCTAGTGATAATTCTACGTACTGGTTTGATGGATCCACACAAATGTATGACATTCGACATATTTGTCATCATAATTGATCACGTTTATCTTCTTCTTTTCCTCTCTTCTCAAGAAGTTGCCCTCTCCCTTTATCTCTCATCCTCTTCCCTTTCCCATCTCTTATCAGCTTGCCTCACTCTCATCCTTTTTTTCCTTCTCTCTCCCTCTCTGTATCTTACTTGTCCCAACCATAAATTGACGACCATGTCTCATAGTCTCTCCATAATTATTTGCATTCTCGTTATATTTCATAGAGCGGATCCACTTGAATTAGAAGGAAGTTGAGTAAGATTTGATTATATTGGAAAAATAAAAAGACAATGATGCGGAATCCATTCCAACGAGGTCGATGATAGTCTCCAGGAGAATGTTGTTGGCACTGCTGAATGTGATGAAGTTTGCCCAACTTTATGCAGAGGTAGGATGAACAGCCACCGAGGATGGAGAGGTGTTGTGATTGTTGGATTTTCTATCTCTCTAAATAGTTTTTCTTCAACCAAGCCCTCTCTTGTCTCTGTGCCATAGACCAAATGTCTCTGCACTAAACCTCTTGCAAAAATCAAATTGATAATTTAAATGGGAATTGGCTACCCTGCAGTTGCGATTACTTACAGTATACAGCAGGAAAGAAAAAGAAGACAGCAGAAAAGAGTGAAAGCAAATGACAGATACAGAAAAGAACGGGTGAGATGAGAGAGAAAAGGAGTCATGTTAGTTGTGAGGGCTAAAATGTCTTGTGAAATAAATTTTCGTGGATCCATCAAATTGTTTCATGGCATTATCACCACCCTAATAAAAAATTACAAAAAATAACAAATTTGAGTTGAGTTCAAATTTGGATACTAGAAATTTAAAGAAACATGCCAAAACAAAGGAGAACCAAAACAGAATTTTCTGGACAAAAGAAACTGTAAAAATAAAACTTTCCTAAAATGGCATCTCAAAATTGAGGGCCATAACAGTGGAATTTGCTCTAAAAGTGCCTTAGATCATGGAGAAACAGTGGGTCTTGATCATTGAGCTGTTCCAATTGAACATGGGCCTTTCGAAGCTAATTTGCCAACACTAGGCTGTGCACATATTTACTGTTTTGCAACACTGATCCAAATGCTCTTAATATGTCAAAACAAGACGATCTGCATCTGTTCTGTTGTGCACATGTTGAAAATAGTTAACTTCTATTTTTTATGTAGTTTTGATCCAAGAGATTGCTCGAGTAGCAGAGATATATTTTTTTTTCTTGCTATTACAAACAAATTAAATATCAAAAATAAAATTTTGTAATTATGAATGCCAAATATGCCCCCATTACATGAATCAAAACATAGTTACTGCACATTACCTATACAAAAAATTATATACCAAATATGGCAGATAATTAAGCGTATGTTTTTGTTGTGAATGCATAAAAAATAGAATTACTCCCTTCATGTTGTCTTGTCCACGTAACTGACCAAATAATGATACATTCTTTAGTACAAAAGTAAACATCATCTATTGTTTTTCCAAATTTGGCCTAGTTTCCTTTTTGGATCATGGGGCCTAGTTTCCAAAGTAAACATCAAGTTTTTTTTACCTACATTTTTAACCAAATAGCCAAAAAATTACTAAATTAGCTTGTTCCCAAACGAGACCTCAATTATCCTTTTACCTCATAATGTCATCATTATCATCGACATTATCTTCTCATCTCAATTCATGCAATGCATCATATTATCATCATCTTCACTTCCCAACTCATGCAATCCAAATCATCATCAATATCTCGATCAAATTTTTGTTTTTGTCGAAATTACTCAATTGCCTTTATGTATGTATTATTTATACTATCATATATAAAGCCTTTTCATAATATTGATGTCTCGAGATTTGCTTAATTTATGTAGAAGGAGCACTTTGCGTAGATCCTAAGATTAGTTAAGGTACGTCTGAACACAGGTCATAAAAAAATCAGTCCCGCTTAGTAGCTCGGATATATTGAGGCTCGAATGGCCCAATTTCTTTGTCCACCTCAGATTCCTTGTGCACCCCCATCTCTGTTCAGTCACACCTTTCATTGCAAATAAAAAAAAAAGAAAAAGAGAAAAGAACAGAGAATAGAGAAATGGGCGACCGACTAACCTAGCTAAATAGTGAGAGGAGAGGAGCATTGACTGGGTAACAGAGAGTAGAGAGAGAGGAGCTGACCTGTGTGTCGCCGACCAGGCTACGTCCGCTACTGTGTGTGCCGCAAGGGTGCTGCTGCTGCTGTGTGTGCCGTATTAGTTAGATTTGCTTGTGTCCACCGAAAAGGTAATTAGCTCCTTCAAACTCAAGGCTTCGCTAGCTAGTCATCGTATATTTATTTTTTAATTTTCCGCCATAATCACAGTCTCTCAAATCAAATCTCTCTGGATTGGCTTTGGTGGTGGTGGTGGTGGGCTTCACTTGTTCTATCTTCATCAGCTTTCAGGTCAGTTTATTAGTATTCCAAGAGTTTCGTAATCTCATATTGAATTGTTTTTAGGGTTTTTCTTCTTTTTTTTTTCAAAACATTTTCTCTCCTTCAATTGGCAAGTTATGTGATGTGATTGGGGAAATAAAGATTGTTTGATTAGATTGCAAATTGATACATATATGTATTGATTGTTCATCTGACCTAATTGTTTATCTATGTTTCGGCACTTCAACTGGTTCAATTCCCTGTGTCATCTATTGCTATAGGGCTAACTATGCTGAACTTCTTGTTCCAAGAATGCTGATTATGATAATTTTCTGTTAGTATAGTGGTAATTTTCAGTCTGAAATAGAAGTGTAAAAATAAACCTGTAAATGGAAGAAGGATTTTAGGAAAATTGTGAAACTTAAATTGTTATTATTATTTTGAAGCTACAATGAATATTGATTCAAACAATAATTCAGTAAGTTTGGTAGAGAGAGGGAGAGAGAGATTGAATGAAGTGTGTTTGTTATATTCAATATATTGTTTACACGTGATGATTCTCATTTATAAAGAGGAGAACCGAAAGAAGAAATAGACAACATAATTAAAGCTATGCACTATGTATACATAATAATGAAAGTGTTGTGTCTTTACATCCTTTACAGCTTACAGCTAATGTATATAATATATACTAACATCCCCTCGCAAACTCAAGGAGGGTAGGCATCCACCAAGTTAAGTTTGGAAACGAGATCATTGAAGCGCCCAGGAGGATGAGCCTTGGTGAAAACATCAGCAGGTTGATCGGCAGAAGCAATAGAGAGAAGAAGAACAGTACCACATGTAACATGCTGTCGAATGAAATGACAATCAATCTCAATATTCTTGGTGCGATCATGAAAAACATCATTGTGAGCAATCTGAATGGCACTCTGATTGTCACAATAGAGAGAGGTAGCGCCAGAAGAATAAACACCCATATCAACAAGAAGTTAGCGAAGTTCCTGAGTAGTATCAGCAAGAGCTCGGTATTTAGCCTCGGTACTAGAGCGGGCAGTGAGGGATTGTTTCTTGCTACGCTAAGTAAGAAGAGAATCCCCTAAGAAGAAATAGAAACTCGTGGTGGAGCGTCGATCTGTAGGATCCCCAACCCAATCAACATCAAAAAAGGCACACAGTTCAAGAGAAGAGGAACCAGAGTAGTGAAGGCCATGGAACAGAGTGCCTTTGAGGTAGCGAAGGATGCGGAGTAGAACAATATAGTGGGAAGTGGGAGGAGCTGACATGTAGTGACTAACAATGTGAACAACATAGGCAATGTCAAGATGAGTCACAGTGAGATAGACAAGACTACCGACTAGCTGGCGATAAAGAGTAGCATTAGAGAGGAGATCTCCATCGAGAGGAGTGAGACGAATCTGAGGATCAACTGGAGTAGAGGTAGTTTTGCAACCAGTAAGACCAGCACGGGCCAGAATATCGGATGCATATTTGGCATGGGACAAATAGGAACCGGTAGAATCATAGAAGACTTCAAGACCTAAGAAGTAGTTAAGAGTACCAAGGTCCTTCATCTCAAACTGACGGTGGAGAAAACGTTTGAGGTGAAGAATACCAGCTGCATCATTACCAGTGATAATCATATCATCCACATAAAGAAGGAGAAGAGTGGTACCATGAAGAGTAGTCTATATAAATAAAGCATAGTCATAGGAGCTAGAGGTGAACCTAAAGTCATGAATGGTAGAACTGAACTTAGTAAACCAAGTGCGGGGTGCCTGCTTGAGACCATAGAGGGCACGCTGCAGTTTGCAAACCTTATGAATGGGATAAGTAGACCCAGGTGGAGGTTGTATGTAGACCTCCTCAAGAAGATTACCATTAAGGAAGGCACTCTTGACATCCATCTGAAAGAGGTCCCAGTGGCGAGCAGCAGTAACAACAAGCAAATTGTGAACAGAGGTAAGTCGAGCAACAAGGGAGAAAGTCTCCTCATAATCAATGCCATATTCCTAGTTGAAACCTTTGGCAACAAGACGAGCTTTGTAGTGCTTAATAGAGCCATCAGAATGAGTCTTGATTTTGTAGACCTATTTGCAGCCAATTGCAGTCTTGCCAGAAGGAAGATCAACAACATCCCAAGTATGAATTTTGTCCAAAGCCTGAAGTTCATCAGTCATAGCTTGCTGCCAAAAAGGCTTAGTACAAGTCTCACGATGGAAGATAGGTTCATAAGTAGAAGTGTAGCAGACCCAACAATATAATCACAAAGATGAATAGCTGGTTGAGTTACCCGGTGCGGCTGACCAGTGAGAAAATCGGTAGGGGGAAGAGCTGGCAAAGAAGGAGGAGACGGACTAAAAGGTGCAAGGAGAGGTGGACCATCAAGGAGAACAGTCTGGCCGGGATCAGGGATCAACAAGGGCGTCTCGATGAAGGAGGAACCTGTATCAAAGTTATTAGAGAAGAGATCTAGGGAAGGATTAGTAAAGATGATCGGAGTAGAGAGTGCAAGTAAGTGAAAGGAGGAGAGAGAGGAAAACATTTTGTGCTCCCAGAAAACTACATGCCAGGAGATACGAAGACACTTAAAGAGAGGATCCCAATAGCGAAAGCTTTTATGTTTAATCCCATATCCAAGAAAGCAGCAAAGACGAGAACGAGGCTCAAGTTTGGTGTGTTCATGGGATTGAAGTAGAACAAAGCAGGCAGAGCCAAAAACCCGAAGATTGGTGTATGGAGGGGGAGTGCCATGTAGACGTTTAAAGGGAGTTTGATTATGCATGACAGGGGAAGGAACACAATTGATAGTGTACACAGCAGTAAGGCAGCCTCTCCCTAAAAGTTTTCAGGGCAGGAAGACGAGAGAAGGAGAGCGCGAGTAGTGTCAAGAATATGCCTATGTTTCTGTTCAGCACGCCTATTTTGTTGGGACGTGCCAGCACAAGAACGATGAGGCTGAGTACCATGACTCTGAGAAAGGAAAGGAAATCGGTATTCTGATATTCCATAGCATTGTTAGAGCGAAAAATTTTAATGGTTTTTGAAAATTGGGTGTGGACCATTTTGGCAAAGCTATAATAAAGATGTTTAAGTTCAAACCCAGTTTTCATGAGAAAAAGCCAAGTAAACCGTGAATAATCATCAATAAAAACAACAAAATAACGAGATCCCCTCATAGTAGTAGTAGGGGATGGGCCTCAAATATCGGAATGTATGAGATCAAAAGGAGCACGGGAAACAGAAGGACTTTTATTGAATGATAAAACAAGTGGTTTTGCGAGTTGACAGGGTATACAATCGAAAGTATCTTGAAGTACATGACCCAATTGACCACTAGAAACCAAAGACTTTAAGCGACTAATAGAAAGATGTCCTAAGTGACAATACCAAAGACGAAAATGAGATAAAGAGGAAGTAGATGCAGGAGCAGCGATCTGTGGGGAGTCTGGAACATGAAGTTGAATGAGTTCATAGAGACGTCCATGCTTATGGTTGATCCCAATAGTCTGTTCTATCTGAGGGTCCTGCACCAAACAACCATTAGTAGAAAATGTGACGATTAGACCAAGCTCACATAATTGACTAATAGAGATAAGATTTAAGGTGAGAGCAGGGATATGATAAACTTGAGGTAAAGATAACTGAGATCTGGAAACAGTCCCAACATGACTGACAGACATGAGAGAATCATCAGCAGTATGAATGGAGAGAAGATGAGTAGAGGGAGAGATGAAAGAGAATATAGTAGAGCTGGAAGTCATATGATTACAATAGGCAAAGTCAAAATACCAAGAAGAGTTACCTGGAGCCACAGACAAAGCAGTAGGAGGAGGTATACCAGAGGTGGAGATAAGCTATTTGAACATGGCCTCAACATCAATTTGAGAAAAAACAGGGGTAGATTGAGTAGGAGACTCAGAGAAATCCTCAGAGGCAGCAGCAGCAGTGCGATTAAACTAACGATGAGAGCTCCCTCTAGAAGGGCCACCGCGAGAGGAGTGGCTAGTGGAAGATGACTGGGATGGATTGCGAAAACAATCCTGCTGCAGATGACCAGGACCAAGTTTGTTGCAATATCGGCAGAATCGGACAGGGCAATGAACCAAAAGATGAGTACAAGGAAGGCCCCGATTTTGACAATAGATGCAAGTAGTGGACCGTTGGGTCGGTGAGGGCCGTGGCTGAGGAGTGGCAAGAACAGAGTCCATATGATGAGTTTGGAGAGTAGCAAGACGAGTCTCCTCAGATAACAGCTCATAAATAGCCTGTTCAAGAGTGGGCAATGGAAGACGATGAAGAAGACAGGCACGCACGGGCTCAAAAGAGGGAGTGAGAGCCATGAGAAAGTGGATCAACCGTTGCTAATTACGATAGGTAGTGAATAAAGCAGCATCTTCTCGGTAAGGCCATGTCGGTTCTGAGAGAGCAAGCTGGTCCCAAACAAAATACATTTGAGAAAGAAAGTCATTAATAGATTGACTGGATTCTTGGCGCATGCGGTGAAGTTGACTTTGAAGTTGATACTAATGGGCAAGACCGGTAGTCTGGTATCGATCTCTCAAAAAATCCCAAATGTCTTTAGCAGGATTAGAAACAGAGTCAAGTTGAAAACGGCCAAACTGAAGACTAATAGAGGGAATAGAGGTATTCCGAAGCCAAGTAATGATCTGGTAGTTCTTACTGTCCCAATCTTCGAGTCAGTCAGCATATGTGGCAGTAGATTCAACGTCATCTTTCACCGGTTTGGTCACATCCCCGGTGATAATACGCCAAAGTTTCTGTCATTTTAGGAAGGTAGACATGGCTTGGGCCCACAGTACATAATTGGAACCATTGAGAAGAACAAAAATTAGATGGGAGGCATCATGGCGATCCATATTAAAAGTGGAGTAGGACTAAATATATAGGAGTAGGCCTGTAGGAGCAAAATTTGGTAAAACAGAGCGTACCAGTGAGTTCGAAAGGTTGAAAATAGCTGGAAAAGGGGCTGCTGTGCGGAGATGACGTCAGTGGAGGGGAAATGATGTCAGCGGTGCACAATAGCAGACTGAAGGCGGCGCACAATAGCATGAAGAGCACGCGACGCACCGTAGCAGAACGGCGCACGCAGGGCGCATGGAAGCAGAACGACGCACGCGGGTGCAAAATAGCAGAACTACGCATGCGGGTGCAAAATAGCAGAACTACGCATGCGGGTGCAAAATAGCAGAACTACGCATGCGGGTGCAAAATAGCAGAACTACGCATGCGGGTGCAAAATAGCAGAACTACGCATGCGGGTGCAAAATAGCAGAACTACGCATGCGGGTGCAAAATAGCAGAACTACGCATGCGGGTGCAAAATAGCAGAACTACGCATGCGGGTGCAAAATAGCAGAACTACGCATGCGGGTGCAAAATAGCAGAACTACGCATGCGGGTGCAAAATAGCAGAACTACGCATGCGGGTGCAAAATAGCAGAACTACGCATGCGGGTGCAAAATAGCAGAACTACGCATGCGGGTGCAAAATAGCAGAACTACGCATGCGGGTGCAAAATAGCAGAACTACGCATGCGGGTGCAAAATAGCAGAACTACGCATGCGGGTGCAAAATAGCAGAACTACGCATGCGGGTGCAAAATAGCAGAACTACGCATGCGGGTGCAAAATAGCAGAACTACGCATGCGGGTGCAAAATAGCAGAACTACGCATGCGGGTGCAAAATAGCAGAACTACGCATGCGGGTGCAAAATAGCAGAACTACGCATGCGGGTGCAAAATAGCAGAACTACGCATGCGGGTGCAAAATAGCAGAACTACGCATGCGGGTGCAAAATAGCAGAACTACGCATGCGGGTGCAAAATAGCAGAACTACGCATGCGGGTGCAAAATAGCAGAACTACGCATGCGGGTGCAAAATAGCAGAACTACGCATGCGGGTGCAAAATAGCAGAACTACGCATGCGGGTGCAAAATAGCAGAACTACGCATGCGGGTGCAAAATAGCAGAACTACGCATGCGGGTGCAAAATAGCAGAACTACGCATGCGGGTGCAAAATAGCAGAACTACGCACGCGGGGCGCACGGAAGCAGAACGGTGCACGCGGGTGCAAAATAGCAAAACTGGAACTCTATAAATGAATTTAATGTATCAAGGAAAAATTAGAAAGTAATAAAGAACAAATTAAATAAAAGGACACTAACTAAGGGTATATGAGTTATAATTTTGGAGGACTACTTGAATTTTTACTCAAATCTCTAAAGTCATAAAGTTTAAAATTACTCCTAATAATTCCAGAATGCCAATATAACCCATTTCCTCTAAGTTTCATATTTTTCCCACATGGAATCAAATTTCTCATAAATTTTGCATTATTACAAATGCTTCTCAACCTTCTCTCTGTAATTTAGCAGTTAACAACATATTTCCTGCGACATCTTCTCTGGCACAGCTATTTATTTCAAATCTATTATTGGGGCTTTTTACCTTATGAAGAACAGCTTCGTTGTTGGCAGCGACGGGACAAGGCATCGGCGTCGGCATCGGTGTCGGCGTCGACTGGGTAGGATGACGATGTCCACCTCTTTCTCTCTTTTTTTTTTCTTTTTTTTTAATTCCTTTGCCAAAATGGCGAAAGAGGGGGGTGAGGAAAGAGAGTCGGTGGTCGAGAGAAGCAAGGACAGCAAGAGGCGAGGAGAGGTGGTCGGTAGTCGAGAGACGGAGATGAGAGGCAGAGAAGAGAGGTAGAGAGAGTAGAGCGTATGAAAGAGGATGGATCTGGGCAAAGATGAAAGAGGGGAGACAGAGAGACGGGCGGGAAAAAAATTTATCTCAGCCGTTTATTTTTGTTTGGAAAGATCTGTACCGTTAATACCAAATGTATCTCTCATACATTTTCAAAAACTATTGTGTCTTATTATATAGATATATTTTCTAATTTGTAACATATATTTTCATTATTATTAGAGAAAAAAAAAATATAATCTTATAATATATATATATATATATATATTGTATTATTTAATATATATACAAATGCTCTCTATCAACGATTCTTGGAATGACTACGATTCCCCGCTCCAACTCCCGCTCTTGCTTCGTGCAACTAAGCTTCTACCATGCTCATAAATTTCATTGTCCATCTCACAAAGCCTTCTCTGTAGATCATTTAATTCTTCTGTTCTTATAGCTTTCCGAGGTCTAACATTGAAACGAATTGTGGAGCTAGTGTCGTCATCATCCTCATCTACGAATTTAAAGTAATGACAGTGTTCCTTATGACTCTACAATCCAAAAGAATTAGTTAATCAAATCACAGAAATAAGTTTGTACTCAGTAAGAGATCTAATTGTATAATAGATACTTACATATTTTGATGGGCAAATAAAGAACAAACGTCATTGGTTGCCATTCTCATTTGTGCATACAGTATACATCGTCGCAGTTCTCCCACAATCACACAATCTTGGTTTTAACCTTATGGCCCCGTTTGGTAGAGCTGTGGGAAAGTGATTATAGCTTATTGCTTAACAGCTTATAACTTATACCTGTGAACATAAGCTGATTTTTGACTTATAAATTAAGCTTCTCCTCCCCCACTCAAAGAATAAGTTGATTTTTGACTTACAAAAAGTTATAAGCTGTATTGTTAAGCTGAACCAAACACATCAAAATAGCTTAAATTAAGCTATAAGCTGAAAATAAGCCCTACCAAACAGGGCCTATGTTGCGATTATTAGTAGAAGAAGAAGCCACAATTCTGTAATTTGCATACATAAACACGACCACCCCCACTCCGTCCACAGTCTCCTTTTAAGTCATGAGTTCCTTCATCGCAACACGACCACCCCCACTCCGACACTTGTTCTGCATGCCCACTTTGCTCAATCCACATCTCGTGGTCGTTCGCGTGGTGGTTTTTCCCGTGGCCGTGGTCGTGGTCGTGGGCGCGATGGACAAGACCGAACTCCTCCTAACTTTGGCTCCTCTTCAGGCTCTCACCCTTTCTCTGCTGGTTCGGGCGTCCTCCCCACTCCACCTGCTGTTCAACGTCTCCGCTGTCAAATTTGTAATCGGCCCAATTACACTGCTCCTCAATGCTATCACCGGTTTGATCGCATGGTTGCTCCAAGTGCTCATTTCACTAGTTACGGTTCCGAACCCACTTCCAATACAAATGGTGGCTTGAGTTCTCCTCCTTCCTCCCATCTTGATTGGTTTCCGGATACCGGTGCCACACACCATGTCACTACTGATCTCGCTTCTCTATCTCACATTGACAGCTACCATGGCACCTCCCTTTTTCGCGTTGGCAATGGTATGGACATTCCGATCTCACACATTGGTTCCTCTACTCTTCATTCCCCCTCTCATTCATTTCATCTTAATTCTATTCTTCACGTTCCTACTTTTCAAAAATCTTTACTTTCTGTCCATCAATTTACTAAACATAATAATGTGTTTTTTGAATTTTATTCCACATATTTTTTGATTAAGGACCAACTCCTAAGAAAACTCTTTTTCACGGCAAGAATGAAGGCGGTCTCTATCGGCTTTCTCCAACCTTTCCTCAATCTCCCACAGCTCTCTCCTCTGAAGTTGTGTCTTCTCTTTGTTGGCACCATCGACTTGGTCATTTGCATGAGCGTGTTCTTCATTCAATCCGTCAATCTCACACTCTTCCTGTTCAGCATCCACGGACTCACGCACCATTGTGTCATGCCTGTCCTCTTGGCAAATCCTCCAGACTATCCCTACCATCCTTGTCTCGTCGTA